GCTGCCGCGCGGGGGCCGGGCCTGCGGGACGCCAAAAGCCAAGCGAGTCACCACTTTTGTTCTGACGGCTATCCCGGGGCCCGGCTTGAGACTGGAGGACGGCCAGGCGGCAGGCGAGGCCCCCAGGCGCGGAGTCGGCGCCGCCCGGGACCTAGCTGTCGCGTTCTGCCCCTGCTCCGGCTCCTCGCGTCCCTGTCCGCGATCCTCCACGATGACATCGGGCGGGACCGCCGAGGAAGGACCCAGGCCAGGCCGTGCCACTTCTCGTTGCATGCCAGCGGAGTGGCCTCTACAGGTTACAGGCCAGCCTCGGGGCGGCCGACCAATGTTACAGATGGGGAAACTGAGGCAGGAAGGAGCAGAGCAACTTCTCCAAGGACACGATGGGAAGAAGTTACAGGGCGAGATTCGAGCTCCCTCCCCAAGTAAAGCGAAGAAGACGCGGGGGTCCTGGGCGCCTGTCTCCAACTACAAGGTGATGGGGCCCAGTTCCGACACCCTCAACTGCAAGAGGAAGGCGGTGAGCTCTGCCTGCCAGGGTCAAAAAGGGCCTTCGCGTCAGGACTGAGGGCAGGAAGCCCCCGGCTCACTCAGGGCCACGAACAACCTCCTGGCCCCTCGAGGGTGCCCAAACAGGGATGGGACACCTGGAAACCGGCACACAATGGCCACTGCCCATGGGACACGTCCACAAAACTAAGGTGTACCCATCTCATTTCTTTATCTGCCCCTCAAAACTTGCCAGCTTCTCCCTGAAGTTCTCATCTTGAAGGTGTCACCAGCATTAGTTTCCTGAGCCAGAAATCTGTGAGTCAAGTGGGCTCCTCCCTCTCTTCCGCCCAGGAAGCAGCCAGTCTACCCAGGTCCTTTACCTGGAGAAACAGCTCCTTCTTCCCTGCCCCTCTGCCCTGACGTTGTCCCTCAGGGTCTGGAGACTATGGTGGCAACTCGTCACTTAAGTGTGCAGTGAGCTTCGGTTTCTCCTCATGTGGCACCAGAGTTAACTTCCTGGAAAAAAAAAAGAATTTGAAATATTTAAAACAAATAGCTCCTATACATAGAAAAACAGATCACTAAGAACATACATGAAGTCTGTCAAAAACTGTATACCTACATGGTCATACACATGTTTACACACATGTGCCTCCAGCATCAAGATGGAGTGATCTACTTTTTATGTTCATGCCCTTCAACACCTGCACTCCTGGATCTGTCCTTACCAGTTTCCATTGCTCATGTTACCATCAGCATCCCAGCACACTCAGTCACTAAGTAGTTCTAACCATTCAGGCCATTTTACACTTTTATAAATGCTGTATCCTGTGCTGATAAGCACATGTGCTTGACCAAGTCTAACCTCCTCCAAGACCCAGTTTCAATGTCATCTTCTCTGGGAAGCCCCAACATCACTTCTGGACAAACTCTGAGCATATAACATACCCCCTGCCCCGTTGATTCATATTTTTTTTATTCATCAAATATCTCTTTAGAATTTCCTGAGGGCATTGCCACTGTGCTAAACATAAAGAAATCCCTATACACTGTATTTGAAAAGTTAAAGTAGCAAACCCTGGAAGTCACAATATTCAGAGAATCAGTTTTTGCAGGGAGCATATGGAGTCAGAGTGACATGGGGTTAGCAACACCCTGCATCTGAATGTGCCCAGTGTCCATCTTACAATAGGTAGGGCAAGGGCTGTAGGTTTGTAAATTTGATGAAATAAGTGATGAACAGTGTCAGGTCCCCTGTGTCCTGGAAGCTTCCAGGCCTCTGAGAAGGGTGGGCCCCAGCCAACCTACTGCTCTATAGAGGAAACAAGGTGTCTAGAGGCCTTGGGGTGGGGCAATGGAGACACCACATAACCCAGAGAAGTGCTTGATAAGTCACTCACACTGCAAGGTACACAAGTTCTGATTCCCTACTGTTGAACTGAAAGGGTACCGAGTCACACAACATTTTACAGAGGAGGAAACTGGGGGACCCAATGAAAGGATTCTCACAGAGTTCATGCAAAGTCCAAAGACCATGCTACACTCCAGAATCCCACACAAGAGATTTCTTGTAGGTAACAGGAGGCAAACCAAACCAACAAAGCTGTCCCTCCAGGGGAAGCAGCAGCCTGTTGGCACTCTTAGAGCAGCTTTATAGCCACAAGAGGAATCTCATAAGCTGCTTAGGAGTTTAAGCTGGGGTGGGGTCGATAGCAGGCATGTTCTTAGCTTTGCCTCAGAATAGAAACTTTGGAACCTCTAGTTATAATGGCTCCTGGGCTGGGGTTGTGGCTCAGAGGTAAAGCACTTGCCTACCATGCGTGAGGCACTGGGTTTGATCCTCTGCACCACATAAAAAATAAAGATATTGTGTCCACCTTTATCTAAATAATAAAAAATGGCTCCTGACCTAAAATGGTGAATCTGATGCCAATATTCCTTTTTGTTTTTATAGATGGGGTGGGAGGACAAACAATGGTCTTCTGTAGCTTCTTCCTGCTGGTTAGAGGTGAAGAATCTCATTACTGTAAAGGGGGTCAGGGAGGGTTTTAGGTGGGAGCAGAGTCTCTGGAGTTGGAGGAGTTGGGCATCAGGGGCTGATAGTCTTTGTAGTAGACTCCTCTGACCGAGAAATCTTTAGGAATGGGCAGGGAGTTTCACTGGTTTTGGAGATGCACAAAGACAGAAGTCTTGTGGGGGTTGCCATATAATGAGATGTGAACAGTTTGAGTTGGGAGTTGTGAATCCAGTGTGGAAGGCCCTCGAGTTTGGCTGCGGAGGGGGTAGTTAAGATTACGCAAAACGATTTCTTCCATTTTGAGGTTAGTGAAGAAGAGGGGGTGTGGGGGGGGGAGAGGAGAGGGAAGATAGATCCCTAGAAAGGGCTTGGCCAAAAAGACGGGACTATCTCTAATCTTTGGGGTAGACAGTCCAAGTTAACTGGGAAGAGGTGTGAGTGCCTGGGTCTGTCCAGGTGAAGGTGAAAACATCCTGGGGTTGGGGGTTTAAGGGAAGGTGTCCTTTAAGTCCCAAACCCAAAAGTGAATGGCATGTGAGGGAATGGAAGAGAGGAGGGTACACGGGTTAGGAACTACTAGGTGAATGGGGATTAAGGCTGTATTGATGAGGTGAAGATCCTGCATAAGTTTGTAGGATCCATTTGGTTTCTTTACTGCTAGGTTGTATGTGTTAAAAGGGGAGTTCAACCATTTGGTGTAGGAGACCTTTTTGGAGAAGATCAGAGATTAAAGGTTTGAGACCCCTGAGGCTCTGGAGAAAAGTGGGTATTGGGGTCATGCTAGGAAATAGGTGGGGTGCTTGAAATGTATTATCAAGGGAGGGTGGTGGGCAGCTATGGAGGGGTTTTGGAGTTTCCAGATCAACCTCTGATGCAGGTAATGGGTAAGGGGAGTCCGCGGAATTTGTCTGGAGTACTAGCAGGACAGGAACCAAAGGCTAGCTGGGGTTGAGGCGAGACTCAGGAGTGAAAGTAATGGAAGCTCCAACTTTGGCTAGGAGATCCCTGTTTAAGAGAGGAACTGGGCAGTGGGGGAATCACCAAGGAAGGAATGGGAAAAGGTAATGCCCTGGAGTATGCAGTGAAGCAAAGGGGTTTTAGGAGCTGGTCTGTGTTCCTTCTACTCCAACAATAGAGGAACAGAAAGAGAGGTAGGTCCCCAAAACTCCTTTAGGACTGAGTATGTGACTCCACTGTCCAAGAGGAAAAAGATGGGCCTACTTGCTATCACAATGGTTACCCTGGCCCCCGAGAAGTGATGGTAGTGGTCGGGTAAGGGGATCCCGGGACTCCTCAATCATCTGTTGCCAGACCTAGAAGATCCACTTGAAAGATATCAGAGCAGGATAGCTTAGTGCCTCTTGGTGTGTGAGGACAGTTGACAGCCCACTGTCTTTTCTGATGGCATTTTGGACATGCACCAAGAGGCTTTTGAGGATTTGGGCACACTCTGGCCCGATGACCCATTTGACCACATTTGAAGCAAGGGCAGGGTGTCCCCCTGGCTGCTTCCTAGGGAGCAGGGATGCTGAGTACCAATGGTTAGGTAGGTTGAAAGGCCTTGGCTAGCATCTGGTATTTCTTATCTGGTCCTTCTTATCTCTCTCATTTATACCTTAAAAGACACTGCCAGAACCTCTTCTTGAGAAGTTAGGGGTCCCCTCTCTAGGCATTTGAGTTCAGCCTTTATGTTGGGGAAGCTCTAGGAGAAGAAGTAGGTCATTAGTAATTGTTTCCCGTCTGAGCTTTCAGGGTCTAGATTGGTATACTGTAAAAGGGCTTTTGTAAGATGGTCCAAGAACATTGAGGGGTTTTCTTTCTTTCTTTTTTTTTTTTTCAAGTGGACACAACATCTTTATTTTATTTTTATGTGGTGCTGAGGATCGAACCCAGCGCCCCGCGCATGCCAGGCGAGCACACTACCTCTTGAACCACATCCCTAGCCCCAAGGGATTTTCATTTTTGTCCTGAATAATTCCTTAGAGTTTCTCATAGTTAATGGCCTCACAGGCCGATTTTCTTAGTCCTGCCACGAGGCAGGTAATAAATTGGTTCCTACTGGTGATCCCTCCAGCTGAATTTTAATTCCAGTTGGGGTCACCATCAGAACTGCCTCAGTGCCAACTGGGAGAGTGGGAGAGGTTTGGTGGACCTCATTGGTTTAGTTTTTGGCCTGCTCCCAAACTCGCCTGCATTCCTCAGGTAGGAGGGTGTTAGATAGGATCATATGTCCATATGATTGGGTTAGATATTGGAATTCCTTTAGGTACCCTTAAGAATTGGAGGTGAAGGACCCTAACCTTCTTTTGATTTGGGAGAAGTCACTAAGAGAGAAAGGGAACTGTACCCGAACAATTCCCTCTAACCCTGCTACTTCACCAAGGGGAAGCAGAGGTATGGGCTGGGTAGAGGGGACCGTGCAAGAGCAAGAGTAACAGGTGGCCTGAAAGTAGGTGAGGGTGGTCCCGGAGGAGTCAGAGCAGAAGGTGGAGAACAGTGGGGAGGGGGTCCATCAGTAGGGTCGAAGTCTGGGGTTTCAGGAGGGTCCTGAGGTCGAGAAGAGAGAGTTTCAAGAGCCAGAGAACCTGGGCCGGAGAGCAGAAAGAGCAGAGGGACCGTTTGGAAAAGAGAAGGGCTGAAGGTAGGGGACATCTTTCCATTTCCCTGAGCACTCTCAAAAGTTAAAAAGGTCCCTTAAAATATTGCAACCTAGAGTGCCGTTAAGCAGCCATTTAGAATCATTGTCTAAGGTATAGAGAGGCCAAATTTGGTTGCAGAGACAAATTAGTTTCTGTGCCTTTAAGTCAGGTGTAAGGCGGAGTGAGTCTAAATTTGCTAAAAGGCAACCCAAGGGGGTGTCCAAGGGGATGGCAGAGGTGGCTGCACCATGGAAAGAGAGGGAGCTGACAGGGAGAGCAGAGGTGTCCCTCTGTCTTCTCACACTAAAGGAGGAAGAGCTAACCACTCTGGGAGTCCCCACTGCCTCAGGAGGGCAGCTGGGACTAAGGTCTGTAGGGTTCTCAGTGACTGGCACCAGGGCTTTGAGCCAAAGGAATATCAAGACCCAGAAAGAGATCTTTTGCCAGGGTTGAGACCTTCTGAGCTTGTGGACTCGGCCGATGGTAGGGACTAACCGTAGTTCTGACAGCCAAGGTTGGGAGTGCCCCTAACTGAACAGGAATCCTGGGAGTGCTGGATGTTCTACTGTCACTTCCCGGGACCCACAGGTCTTTTTTGTTGACCGGTGGCAGGGAAACTTACCCAAATCAGTGGGTGAAATGGAAGGTGAATTTGTGGTAAGGGCAGCCTAAGACCAAGTGTAGGATCCCAAAGCAGCTCAGATCTCCAAAGGGAGGGCAAGGTCAATGGGAGAGCCTATCCGAGTCACGGCACCAATGAAAAGACACTCAAAGTTCATGCAAAGTCCAAAGACCAGGCCACACACAGGAATCCCACACAAGAGATCAACTGTTTGTAACAGGAGGCAAACCAGTAG